AAAATGAATTAAATAAAATAAAACATAAATTATATTTAGTTTTTTATTATACTTCTATGTTTTACTGCAAATATAATACTAAAATGTGAATTTGGAAAAATTACACCTATCCCGAGAAATATAACATATCGACTCCACGCATTCTATGTCTTCCATTAGCGATGAATTGACGTGGTTTTTTAGTTCGTGGCGCCTCGTTCCAAGGTGGGGTACACACGTGAGCTGAATATGTAACGATATTACGTTTTCAGTCAATACAATCTATACAAACACCCGTTGTGAAGAAGAAATTTAGCTCAACTCAAAAGAGCTCAAAAAAAGCTCTAATCTTTCCAGCACTCCGCGACAGCTATTTTTTAGGACTTTTTACAAGTATCAGAATTAACAATCATTTGACAACGATATAATGTATCTTCTGAAATATGTAATTATACAGTATTGGCTAAAAATGCAACTTTCGACTACCTAATGTAAATGTAAACACAACCTAACAATTTATGATTAGACAGTCGAAACTAAAAACATCCATCACGAATTGCAACATCGAATCTTCTTTCATTCTACTATTCGAATATGATTTATTAGTCACATAGTGTAGTTCTAAAATATATGTTACACACATGTATTCACTGCGAAACTTGGTTATATTTTGTCTTTGAAAATCCGAAGAGGATATTTTTCTAATGCGTGTGGGTGAAATAAAACACTTAACGGTTCAAAATGCGAAATGTAATAATAGGTGTTTGTCTAAAAAGACAAGTAACACGGTAACACAGATGGTAGAACAACGGCACTTTTGCATCACTCTTAAATACTTTAAATTTATGTTAAAGTACGTCTAATTTCGGAGCAAGTGGAAAGAAGAAATAACCGATTTTTAGGCCAAAAGCTTTTTAAAAACGACATTAAGCCATTAAGCACACATCAATAGGCAACAATGGATACATTTTTAAAAGAAAAATCCGAGAAAGTGCCGCGTAATGGCTGCGATGGAATGGAAAATCGTTTCCGATGGCTGCCGGACGATTTTAAAAACGATTTATGCAGTTATTGTCGTGGGGTTTTAACACATTTGAAGAATGAAGCTCTTAATTTTTTGGCTTGACGCTATTGAAGTGTAGCGTAGTAAGTTTATATCTTCGAGGAATTTATAGACTTGAAATAAGTGTAAAAACCTTACATATAACTGTTTTGAGACTCTGAAAACTAGTCCGTCTATGAGTTGACATATCGTAGACGGCAAAGGCAAGATACACACATCCAATTAATATGGTTAACGCAAGGCTTTTAGTCAGTCATGTGTAGGATCTATAAACTAGCTGTGCAAGCGACTTCGTCCGCATAAAATAGTTATTTTGGGCATCACTTTTTTTTGCTAATAACATCATCTTTATCAATTATAGCTCTTACCCACGACGTTAGCCCCGCCCTCTAGTTCTTGTAAGTTTATCTTTAAAGATACACATATCTCTTGTATTGTTTCATAGATATTTTTTTGTTTCTTGCACCGTTTTCACAGCGGACGCGACGGAAGCCTTCAAAGATGAATAAATTTCTTTTTTCTTCAGTTTCTACTGTTTCTTCGCGACTATTGGCCGTTTTATGATGTTATATAGCCTAAACCTTTTTCGATAAATATTCTATCCAACACAAGAAATATTTTTTCCCTCTATAATTTTACAGATTATTAGACACGTCAATAAAATCGGCTTCGGTCTTGCCAGTAAAAACTACGATGTCCTATGATCGGTGTGAGATACATAGTTCTAAACGTGAGCCTCACATCATTTAAAATTCTAAATACTTAAGTGAAATACTTCCTCTCACTCAAGTAATATTTCACGCGGCACTTAACGCGGGGACGTAAATTTGTCACGATCAAAGGCGGTCGCTTCGCCTAAATAATTGTATCTTACTCGACTTCGGTAAGTGGTTATAATTTAGTTATGACATGTACATTTTCATTCGGGAGATACATGTACCTATGTATTATCAGGGGCCGTAGCAAAAGATTAGAAAATGATACCAACTGTGGAAATAAACAAAATGTTGGATTGATATAAACCGTCCCTGAACCACACGTCAAATATTCTGTTTTGTAACGTCATTATTGTATGGTATAAACTAATAGCAAAATCGTTGAATACATTTTAAATTAACAAATTTTTTGGGGAGTAAAACATTATAGTACCATCAGAGCCTTTTCTTGTGCATGTTAGGCGTACCTATAAGCAAATTGAAATTTTTTTATTGTTAAAATTATATTTAATTGTTCTAACATTTTAAATTATTGTATCAATTATTCCATTTCAAACTCATGAATGAAACTAACGTGACTTTCATCTTGTTTTCATTCCTGTCCAAAGCCGCGACACGAATTATTTATGACGCTTTTTACAATGTGTTTAACGATAATGGATGTTTACGGTTCATATCATTCATTTCAATTGTCTTAAATATACAATAAAGCGGTGAATCCTTATTTTATTTGACAGAATTGACCAATTCCCATTATTTTGTGTGAAGCAGCGAATAAAAGACAAAGTAGTATACACAAATATTTATTTACTTACACAAATTAGACAGGAAGTAACTCGCGACAGACATAAACGCTAAACAAAAAATAATCACAGATGTAATACATTGAACGAACACGCCACTTCTATCACTAAAAATCAAATATATGGTCAAAAAAATTAAGATCTGCCTGCGCATTATGTGACCATAACTTAGAGCCACAATAGAATAGCACAACAGCAAACCCTTAAATTAAGTGAACCATACTACGGCAGTAACACTATACATTAACCAATAAACATAAATCACAGTTAGTTAAAACTGGCATACATACTAAAAGAAAATAGGCAGTTACAAAAATAGCTCAAGAATCGGGAAACGACTTTTGACTGTGTCCATTACATCCATATCTCCACGAAACCGCATCCATTCAACGTGTATAAAAATTTCATCTTGGCCGAATATTATACTTTAAAGACGCTCCATTTGTTATCACAGCAAACCTGTATTAACTTTGACGTTAATATTAACATTCACATTATTACCGGTGTCCCCCAAGGCACACTTTTAGCACACCTACTTTATAATTTTTATCAAATCCTTTATTACTTATCAATATTATTTTCATATTCATTTACTACATGCAACCTTTTAAAATACTGTCAGTCATTCCTGCATATTAAACTGATAGAAAAGCGAATAATAGGTACATTTAGTTATTTTTTGTGCAATCGTATTGAATCTTGATGTTTAATTTGGTACAATTTAAAATCATACATTATAAGGAAAATACAAAATATTTTTCTTGCTTCACATTTTTTTTTGAAACTGTGAACTTTTTTTGAACAAACGGTATGAAATCTTCAGATATAACTTTAAATTGGAACATCAAGACCCAAAAACTAACAAGGGTACAGTTTCAAAAATATAGGAACGAACTAAAAGTTCTCACGTATTAGCTTAGCCGCACACTCAGCAACTCTGCGGTTGGACGCGTTAAAATGCTGTGTTTGAGAATTTCATACATTTTGTTCTAAGCTTCACACAACTCATCTCCGTATCCACCAGGTAGTTATTAACGATGATACAGCGACTCGCCCAGTGTACGCCAACGCTAATCGGTTCACGAACAAAGATGTCATATCGAACACTACATTCATAGAAAAATATGTATAGCGACGTCAAAAAGTGTACAGATTCACAATCACTACAGTAGTAACATCAACACAACATGGCAGAACGTATTCAAAATATGCTTTGAGCGAATCGCGAATACAATGGCCTATCTAAAGCCTTTGAAAACGTTGATATGAAATCGATTTATTTGCGACTCAAAAATGCATCTATAAGAGCATTGTATTTACGATAAGCTTTAGGTTAACTATACACTCAGTTTTTATTATATTATTTACCACCAAAATATTCAATGACATTTATACTTTTGATATAAATAAAATAAAATAAACTAATTTCATATAAAATACGCGTTAAATAATAATTTTAAGCCAATGACTAGTTAATTAATTGCCAACACACAATTAGTAATTGGAATATTAAAGATTATATAAATTTTCGAAATAACGTGTATTCCGAGAATAAATATCAAAATAAAAATAACACTTTTCCCATATTAAAAATGCTTTAGCAACGCAATGTAGTATATTAAAGCTCTATCTAAACATCAAATTTGGAATGTCTCATACTAACTCAATTTTGAATTCTTTTAGTATTCAATGACTAGACTAACCCAAATTATCTTATGAAATTACCCCGTTAAATAGTGTTTGTAGTTTACGCAAGTAGTACTCATTTTAATAAAACACTAACTGCTTAAAACGCGATATATTTCAGTTAAAGTTGTTTAAAAATTATTTTTAACTACGACCCGACGTTTCGGATGCTTTTCAGCAGCGTGACCGTAGCTAAAAATAATTTTTAAAACAAGTTTAACTAAAATATATCGCGTTTTAAATGGTTGAAGTTTTTTATTTAAATTACACCGTTAATTTAACAGCATAAAAGGTACGTTGGATTTTATCCATAATCGGAATACACTTTATTATTAAAGGTTATAATAAAATTACATTTTACTTTTATCTACTCGTATCCCAACAATATTAATCGACATGAATACTATCTATAGAGGTTTTACGTTTTTTTTATGACAAAACATTAGAAAAAGTTGTTACACATTTTAAGTAATTATTTGATAAAAACTCAGGAAAAATAATATTTATGCTTTTGGACACAGAAAAAACAATATCTCTTTCTTTCTTTTTGAACGGTTTAAAAACCTATACATCTTTTTAATACTAAATAGCAATAAATGTGTATGTTTTACAATTGCAAACCTTAATTAAAAATAACATTATTTGCGGAATTTTATGATGACTTTGTTGTAAAAATTAATATACGGAAACCATAGTCGAGTTAAAAATGCATGTTGTTAGACAGTACAACATCCTTTAAAAGCGTTATTAATTTCATTTCTTATTGTGATGTTGCCTCTTTGCTCTACCTTGCTTGATGACTTGAACAAGTTTCAGCTTCTGAGCATCGATACTTTCCAGAAACTCCTCGAGCATCTGTATGTGTAATAAAAAAGATTGATACATTTTATATTGCGAAGTAAATTCCTTTATTCGTAACGTAATAAGTATTTATAGAAATAAAACAAACTACTCACAGTCATGCTGAGTTCTGATCCAATGGCTGCGGCGCAAGCAGGATATTCGGCAAGCGCGCAAAGGGTAGGCAACAATGCTTGGCTTCTTGCTTGGGAGACCAGCCAATTAGCGGGAAGTGTGCAAAGAGTTCTTACTACGCTCCAGCCTTCGCATATTGCTTCCTAATTAAAAATAATAAAGATGATATTTTAACCGCTTAATAGTGGAGACACTAATCTTATATCAAACAAAATACATATATCCATTTAAATCAGCCTTAGCATTTGTTTGCATCTGCACAAAGGCTATAGATAAATTTGAGTTACTTTCACCGATAGCCTTCTGAATCTCTCGCGAACAAAATATTTACCTAAGTTATAGCCAAGAAGGCAGCAGAGATTGATTGTCCTTTTTCAATAATAAAGTAATATTTAGCAGCATCCTCATTTTAAACAACAGTTAAGCAACCTTCTTACAAGTACCCACATCAAAACACTTGTACTACCAAACTATCGTAGAGTACTATCTAATCGAAAAACATCGTGCATTACACACCACTTCTATTATGAAAATTTAAGCAACAACATAAACAAGGCGCATCTGGTCGAAACACAAGTTGATTATTAAGGCGAAAGAATTCCAATAAATTATTCATAGTAATGGTCACTATAATGGCGGAACAACGGAGGGCCTAATGCGCTTCCTTGAGTGAAGTCGTTGTTAGACACCTGTGGCCGTGGGAAATTTCTATAATACAACTTATGCGGGCAAAACTCTATTTCACCAGGTAAATTATCGCTAAATGAGAATATATTCCACGTTTTAAATTAAGACTAATCTTCCGGTCAACCGGTAAAAATTAATTAACTATCGCTGTTATAAGCTATATTTTTTTGTTGGTTTTCAAAAGTACTGCATTTCACATAACTTTAAGAAATTTAAATAATTGTATTTATACCTCGGAACGTTGTCATAAGATCATACCTACACATCAGACCACAAACTATTATACATTTGCCAGATCAATACAGGACACTTGAGAGTGCTCTCAGTTATATTTAAACAAAATCAACACACGTCCTTTTATTTATTGTTTAATTTAATTATCTAGATTAGCTTACAAATTATTATTCTACATTATTTCTTGCTACCTTATATAAAGTAAGTTAAAACTTAATGGACAACTCTATTATCACGTGCAATGCTCAGGTGCATAACGGTCAGTGCGACCCGCATCTTTACAAGACGTGTTACACAAGTTACACTTGAATTAACTGTGAGACAATTTCCATATAACATTTAAATGTCGCCAAATAAAAAAAATAACACACGGAATAAATTAAATAAAAAATTTACAGGTTGACGTTGTCAATGCCTTTTGTAGCTCAGTATTTAAATATAGAATACAAATATATACAAAATTCGATTTATTTAGATACATAGCTTATTAACTTCTATAAGTTTACAACAAACAAACGCATTGGTATAGGAGTAACAGGTATTATATAAGATGTTTTCTTAATTTTAAACTAATAATAAAGTAAATGGACCGCCTCTGTAGCCAAATGGTTTAACGTATTGCCTAGCATTGCGTTACGCGCGAGAGGTTCTGGGTTCGAATCTAAGGGAAACAAAAAAAAAGTTTCGGTCGATCACAGAAGTCTAATCAACCTACCTGTCTGTTAAAGAACGGATCAGTGAAACGGACACAGAAATGTGTTCGCCCCATGCCCCACGAGGGGGAAACGGGATTTCACACACACAATGAAGTAAATAGAAATTTTTATGCAATTTTAGACCTGAGACTGACCTGTAAATGTGGGTTGTTCACTACGACGAAACCGATGAGAACGATCAAATCTAAGACCATTGTTTCAGAAAGACTCTGTTCTAGTTTCTCGCTGCTTAGACCTGTGTGATAATAGATAAATTTCGTTAGTCGATGGTGGAACCCTAATTACGCACATACACAGTTAAGTAAAGCTTACCGGGCCGAATATTTTATAATATCGTTTAATCGTTTATTAGCTTAAAACCCGTTTTACAAATATAGTATTTCGTTGGCTAATTACTATCAACATGAAGATTCTGCTGCACATCAACGTTTCTAAACTATAAATAAACTTACGCAACGTAGTTTTCCTGGGAGCCTCCTTGTCATTAGGAGCATGCTGGGACAGTAGTCTAGCAACCGCGGCTCTAAACTCAATAGGCCATCCACCTTCACCAAACGCCTCCTAAATACACGAATAATATTAAAACATAAATATCATAACAATGATGATAAAACTCTTTACGCTTAAATGTAAAATGTATAAAAAAGGTTTTTGTGCAAAGGCGGCCTTCTTGCCTATGGTGATTTCTTGCAGGCAACCTTTGCATGGAAATAATATATAACATTACACCAAAGGAGAAGAATTCTATAAGGAAAGAGAAATATGCAATAAAATTAATATTTAAACTAGAAACTACAAATACATAATAAAACGAGGTATAAGAATATGAGACAAGGGCCGAACTTTATTCAAGAAAGTGTGGGCGAGCCCATTAAACAAATTTTGACATTTCGGTGAAAAGCCCATGTTTCGACTTTAGATTGAATCAGACAAAATTCAGCTACAGAAACAGAGTTAGATTACGCAAACTAGTTACGTTAAAGACATTTGAAACCACTCTTAGGGACCCTCGCAAATTGTTTAACCGTATTCAATAGAGACTACGCTATATTTTATACTGCTGTTGACATTAGAGTATTAAGTTATTTCGACCTTTGCAAATATGTTCTTTTTAAGATAACAAGTGGAAAATAAAAGGATTCCGCAGAAAAGGTGATATTTTTCTGTGAGAAATAAAACGATTGAAGATAAAAAACAAGTATAAAATCTTTCCTAGCAAACACGCAACGGTTCCATAAATTAATGACTTCGGAACATCACTAAAACCTCAACCGTAACAAAATTGGCGAACCGTGACCACTCCCCACAAATCTCGGAGCGGATTCCACGCACGTATCCCGACTTCCGAACTCTCATGAGGTGGTAACACGCGATGCTGTTATTCACCAGATTTTACTAAGTTTCTTACAGAAAAGAGAATTAACTTTCTCTGTGTGTAACATCCGCAATATAGAAGTAGAAACGGACTATGCCACAGGTTAGGTTGAGTACATTAAAATAATTACTATTCTAAATGAAATTGATCGTAATTCATGAGCAGCTGGGTTTTTCAATTGCAATGACCAACCCAACGCAAACGCATCAATCACCCGCCAATTCCCCTAAAACCATACATCTGCGGTGGTTAATAAACTTATAATCGTGTTTATTATCTATTACCGGCCTACGGAACAAGCGAGGATCCCCGTGGGGATAACGCTAGGACCGCGATTATACATGCTGTGCATAATTCGGAGAGCAAATATTTTTTAATAGAAGCACTTGTTATACATGTTTATTTATATCGATATACCTTTTAAGTTATTTTAAGAAACTATCGAATTAAACAATACATATGTAATGTTCTATCTTAAGAAAAATTGTGTTTTTGCAAAATTAATGTCAGTATCTTTCAATACGTCCAAACATTTAGCATTAGTAGAGATTGCCGGCCCACATCATAAACTAAGGAATCCCGTGGGTCCACAATTATTCATGGTGTATTCAGACATCAAAGTTTAGACTGGGCGTCCCGGGGGAGGCGTCCAAGTGCGCTCTTGTTTGAGTTTTATTATTTCTATTACGGCTCTTTGTTTGTGCAATCTTGACTGTTTTGTTATGGGCGGGATGCTTTATGGTATGGGCTGGGGAGATCATAGTTAGTAAAGCGCATATAATAAAATTTGCGAAAACATAGAAAATTGGTTGGGTATGTTATAAAATAAGAGTAATAAAAATGACACAATATCTAAATAAACAATTAGAAGTGCGTGCTTAATTAAGAATTCCTAGTATGTAATATTCCACGCATTTCATACAATTATTTTCTATAGAATAGAATTGAAGTTTAACCGATTTGCAAATCCCTGAATAGTTAGTTACGCAATTTACAGAATACGGCTGAGTAAGCAAATATATATAGGTACACACATATATCAATAATAATAGAATGCAATGGTAACATTTCGACCCTAATGTAGATAAATGACAACGCACTCAAATACCCTTTCCCATAATTATCGATATGATATCGAATCTAAGTAAAATTAACCGAAAATGATAAAAGCCGCGTGCCGGCATTGTATCTGTGACCCCAAAGCGTCGCGGTGTAATGTCACCGTGACATCCAGTGACAGTCCACTGACATCTGTCACAATAGCGCGGGAATCGTGGCCGCCATGTGCGTCCTATATGAAAAAGTTCGTACCATAGGGTATACAGAAAGAAACTATGCTGTTTTTGTCTGCGCGTGTGCCCAGCACCCATGAGGCCGTCATAACTTATCGTATATCCTCTAGAGACATCATTAATGTTTTGCACCTTTGACTTTACAACCAAGACAAAAAAAAAGTAAATATACATGGGATTATCAGAAATTATACACGCGCGCAAAAACCGTTTAATAAGATACATTGACAATTTCCTATTTGAAAAAGAAGATTGTTACTAGCAAGAAATTTATATATAACTATGTGTTAAAAGCCTGTTAAAAACTAAAGTATTTTATTATATAAGAACGAGTTTTTTAACATAACTGGTATATAAAAGTCATTTATTCGTCGTTTGTAAGTTTGTTAATTGATTTTTCCGTTCAATTTTACACTATTTAATTGAATGGATTACCTATAATTACTAAAAGAGTTAGCTAAAACCCTTACGCTCTAGATATCGATATTTTATTGGTATAGAACAAACCTGACGAGAGTAGATAATAAATTGATTTCTTGTCGAGCCGCTATTTTAAATTGATTGGACTCTTCTAGATTGCTTTGCTCTTTACTTTAGCTATAATAGGCCGCTTTACCAAGAAATCAACTGTATTATTCAAGGTTTGTATTAGATGAATAAGCAACGTAATCTTGAATTAAGAAATTATTCAGAATTTAGATATTATTGAATTTATATAAGTGACACAATTATTGAATCATACACATTAACTATTGTCTAGCTAGTCATCAGATTCTTTTGAATGCCTCCCTTTTTCGCACATGAATAGGAGATTTCAAATTTCAAAACATTATGACCGATTGTTATCAATTAAGCTGTTGAACGTGATACTAGACATCAACACACATCTTTAAAAACTATTGGAAGTATTAATTCATTGTAAGATATTAAACATTATTATTTGACTATGGCACATTTTAGACTGGAAACATTTCCAATTCAAAGAGTTTAATTCGTATTTGAATTAGGCCCAATAAAAATAATGTCATGAGGCTGCTACAGAGTATACGTACAGGGATTTGATTGCGTTTTGGATTCAGGTACTTTTTTTTAAATGATAGAGGTGGACAGTCAAGCATTGTATCCACTTGATGGGAGGTGAATTACCTCAGCCATTTAATATCTACACAAGATTTTCGGTACTAATTTGTGTCAAAAGTCATTATGTTAGGATGTTGCCGGCTTCATATCTATTATTTATATTATATAATATGGCAACACTGTCAGGGTAACAGCTGTTTTTGATTACTAATCTTAAATATTATTAAAATAATATTATTTTCCTATTTTAAATCCATAGTTAATGCTTTTTTTTCAAAGATTGATTTGTTATAATACTGTTCGTAATAAACTTTCTACGTTAGAACCGTGAAAATAAAGTAAATTGTGAAAGCAAATTATTAGTGACAGTTGTCAGTTTAAATTCAAATTTGTGAGTTTTCTTAGTCAAATAAATCTTAAGTAATTTTGTTCTTTAAAACAAATAAGTGAAACAATTACCACGTAAGTACCTTGCTACAAGTGTTAAATACTTTAAATGAATTAGATTAAATCTAAAAACAAACTCCATCACGCCTCCACCAAATTGAGTACAATTAAACTTCTTACCACAAGACAGTCTTTCCTTTTTAAACATGCTGACTCGCAGAGGCTTAGCCGTACAAGAGGAGTCCAAATTAAAGCTAGCATTAAAGGAATTGCAGTCTACGAAAGAACTCTGTGCTCAACTTACGTTGGAAAGAGAGGAAAATGAGAGGGAGTTTTTAGAGATATTAGATAGTAAAAAAACACTCAAATCCGAATTATCTTTATTATTTCAAGAAAATACTCAATTAAAACAAGAATGTGATATGCTACACAGCCAACTTAATAAGCTGGATAACTTTGGCATTGAGTATGAAACTGCTTTGGGGCGCATTAACATTCTTGAAAAGGATTTGTGTGAGGCCAATCAACATATAAACAGTCTTGAAAGAGGCATTAAGTTGAATGCAGACTTGGAAACACAAAACCAATTCAATGAACTAGTTGGTCACCCACTACATAAAGCAAATATTAACTCACCGAGTAATCCCAGCTTGGTTGGATGTAGCATCAAAAAGCTTAGAAAGTACATAAAAATAAATAAATTCATTAGTAGGACTCATAGATTATTAAAAAAGCAAAATAGAATAGTGCATAATGTAAAATTAAAACAGGAAAATATAGAACTCCGGAGTAATATCGAACTGCACATCCTAGAACTTGATAATATGAGACTTGCATACGATACGGAAACACAGGAACTCCATAAGGAGATAGACAGACTCGAGAACCTTGTGGGCTCCTTGATATCTAAGTTTCAAGAGTCTCAAGAGATGGTTGAAAAGTACTCATCTACTATGGACGACCTCATCAAGCTCTCCACATACACAGCAGAGTATTATGAGTCACAGAACATCAGCTCTTGTGACCCTGTAGGCTTCTTGAGTCACAAATCTAACCCCTCTCCTCTAGTTCCCAAGTTAATTAAAAATATTAAAAGTAATATAAATAATAATAAAAAATATAACCTTAATAATAATTTTTGTTGCAAAAAACAAACTGAAATGCAGAACAATTTTATGTTTTCTGATGAATTTGGGAAAAATATGGGTAATTTGTGTAATTTTAATATAAGAAACAGCTGCTATCCAAATGCCACGTTTAGTCATATAGTTGATAATTATGTAATGAGAATGAAATCTTGTCAATCTAAAAGCTTAATATTACTTATTGGTAATAGGGGCAACATTAATAAAAAAGAATTAATATATCTGTGTGAGAAGATACTTTTGTTGAATGCTAAAAAAATTATAATGTTCACATTTCCCTATAGTCAAAATTTTTCTAAACAAGAAAACAATATTAGATTCATTCTCAATCAAACATTACATAATATATCAATGTATAACGGGAATTTACATGTAATTGATACCAACAGGTATTTAAAAAATAAAATATCTTTGACAAGTGATAGGTATATTCTACCTATTTACTATAAACGACAGATAGCTGATGCGCTATCATATTTTTTATTGATTACAGCCAAGAATTTGGCTAGACATAATGCTTCTATTGAGCAAGTAGTATATAAGACTTTGGAAGAGATTCCAAGTAATGTTTATTTAAATTAGCATATAAGACAACAGAGTCTCAGACCTCTGGCGAATCAACTAAAACGAATAATTTGTATAAATCCAGTGACTATAATATAATGCATCAAAACATTCAAGGGATGAAAAGTAAAGAACTTGAAATTGATTTGTTAACTATTAATACTCAAATTGATGTACTATGTCTTACAGAACACTGGTTAAAGAAGCATGAACTCATATTTAATTTCTGTAAACACAAAGTAGGTAGTTCCTTCTGCAGAAAACATGCAAAGAGAGGGGGCTCATTAATCCTTATTAATAAAAATTTAAAATTTAAGGAAAGAAAGGATATAGTGAGCCTTTCTGTAGAACGAATTATTGAACTTTCTTGTATAGAGCTAGAGCAATTTATAGTTGTTAGTTTGTATAGTCCTCCTTCAGCTAATTATGATAGTTTAGAAAAGAAACTAGAAGAGATGTTGTTTAAATTGCAAAGAGCCAATAAGAAAATAATTGTCTGTGGAGACTTTAATATTAACTTGCTAGATAGTAGCTGTCGTTCTGCCTTACAGTTGCTTAATCTATTTAAATCATTTAATTTAATAAATCATTTTATTGTGCCCACTAGAGTAACAGCCACTACAGCCACATGTATAGACAATATCTTCAGTGACATTTCACCAGTAAATACTTGTATTATCAACAAGCTAACATCTGACCACTCTGGCCAAATGTTTACTTTTAAAAGTATTAGGAGTAACATCTGTAAAAAGAAGATATGTACAGTCCCAGTAACTGATGACCGCTTGGACAGATTCAGAAATAGATTAGTCAGTAGTTTGCCATTTTTGTGTGACGGACAGTGCCCTAATAATTTATATGATGCATTTTTTGGTTCATTTATTGATGAATTTAAAAATGTATTTCTTCCTAAGACTTTATTGGTATCTGAGAAACCTAAATTCAGTGATTGGGCCACTGTGGAGTTGCACAAAAAAAGAGAAAAATTATATGAATTATATGAAGAAAAGCAGTATAATCATAGTGAGGAATTCAAAGCTTACGTAAAAATGTTCTCTAACAATTTTAAACAAGAATGTCGTTTAACTAAATCACAATACTTAAGTTTAAAAATAAAGAATAGCTCTGATAAGGTAAAAGCCACTTGGAAAATGATAAACGAGGAGACTGGGCGGTCTACACATAGAGATTTAGATTATAAATTACATGTCGATGGTAGATTAATCAGTTCAGACGTCGAGGTGGCTTCTACGTTTGAGAAGTTTTTTACCGACATTCCACTTAAAACCACCGAAGCTTTGAAATCTTCTTCTTCTGCCGCCCTTCATTTATTAGAAACAAATGTACCAAAATGTAATAGCAGGTTCAACTTCAGCTATATAGATAGAAATCACATTATTCAAACTTTTAAACTACTTAAAGTAAAGAAATCGAAAGATATCTGGGGTGTATCAGTAATAGTTTTACAATCCGTAATTGACATTATTGGTTCGGAACTAGCTATTATATTTAATCGATGTGTTGATTGTGGCGTCTTCCCTAGTAAAATGAAATTAAGTAAAGTTATACCTTTGGCTAAGGCGGGTAGCACGACTGATCCATCAAACTTTAGGCCCGTGTCTATGTTGCCTGCTTTGAGTAAAATTTTCGAAAAAATCATGCTAGATCAGCTGATGCATTTTTTTAATAACAATAAGCTTATGCATAACAAGCAATATGGTTTTACGAGTGGTCGATCTACAATTGACGCTGGTGTTAAACTGATTTCCGATATTTTGGACGCTTGGGAGAGCTCCAATAATGCCATTGGAGTTTTTTGCGATCTTTCAAAGGCCTTTGATTGTGTCCATCATAATACACTAGTCAAAAAGCTTCAGCATTATGGAGTTGATGGAAAGGCGTTGAAAATGATGGAGTCATACTTAGGTGGTAGAATCCAAAAAGTGTATGTTAATGAATCTGTCTCAACAGGATCAACCGTTGCAATGGGCGTACCACAGGGGTCTATACTTGGACCATTCCTATTTCTCATCTACATTAATGATTTACCATCCTTTGTTAACGAGCTTCATGAGATAATACTGTTTGCTGATGACACTTCACTTTTATTTAGTGTGAAACGTGGAAATATATCAGTAGACGATGTAAACAGTGCTATCGCCAGAGTCGTTCAGTGGTTTAACACAAATAATCTCTTGCTTAATGAAAAGAAAACTAAATGCATTAAGTTTGTAACACCAAACGTTAAATGCAATATAATTGATAATTTAAAAATAAAAGATGAGAAAATAGGTTTTGTCGAAAATGCTGTATTTTTAGGTATAACTCTTGATTGTAAACTCCAGTGGGGACCACATATAAAAAATCTCTCGAATAAACTAAGCTCTGCAGCCTATGCTGTAAAGAAGATACGACAGCTTACTGATGAAAATACAGCCAAGCTTGTCTATTTTAGTTACTTCCATAGTGTAATGTCTTACGGCATCCTTTTATGGGGCAATGCAGCCGATATTCAAACTATATTTGTTTTACAGAAAAGGGCCATTCGAGCGATTTGTGGTCTTTCCCCACGAGAGTCCGTCCGAGATAAATTTAAATCATTGAATATTCTAACATTAGCAAGTCAATATATTTATGAAAATGTTTTGTTTGCTCGAAAAAATGTACATAATTTTAAAACAAACAGCAGTTTTCATCAATATAATACACGCAATAAAGATAAAATAAGTGTACCGACCAAAAGGCTCCATAAGACAAGTAATTCTTTTCAAGGTAACTGCATACGGTATTTTAATATCATCCCTAGTGAAGTAAAAACGCTGTCAATAAATAAGTTTAAATCGTTTGTTAAACAAAAACTGCTTGAAAAGGGTTATTATAACGTAAATGAATATTTAAATGATAAAAATGCTTGGGCTATGGAGGAACCCGCTCTATCAAGGAAGAAATGTACACAATGAGTGCGTAAGGACTATAAGGAAATGTAACTAAAACTTGGCAGTTAAAAGGAGTGGCGGCGAGTTTCTTGCCAGTTCTTCTCGTTCGTTCTACGCCTTAACTTGGGAACTGGTAGTAACTGTAAATTTAGAGTCTTAAGTTTTTACCTGTTTTGACGTTCATAAGTGTACTAAGCTACCTACATGAATAAATGATTTTTGATTTGATTTCGTCAATATTATACCGTTAACATTTTTATTTATACGCCTGGCGCCGTATTGCGCGGTGTACATTACCTACGAGAGGGCGCACAATGCAGACGGTTTGCACAGAGCCTCTCCACTCTTAGCACACAATACACATTAGCCTCGAGAGCGCAGCTCCGGTGGCTCAGGCAAACATTTGCTCGAGATATCGATTCGCGATACTATGTAGGACCCGAGATACTTTAGCGTAGTACAAAATTATTTACAGAGATACGACACAATAAGGAATCAAAGTAGAAAAATGTGTTAACAAAAACAATGTTTCACTTAAAAACCGATTTTAGATTGAAAATTTCACGACATAGGCGGGACTTGAACCGGCATCCGCAGCGCTCTGTGCTGCTCTAACTATAATACGTCACCGTCGAAATGGTTTCAAATGTCTTCAAACAATGTCTACTAATTTATGAATTAATAAAAGTGTTTAATGGCAGCACACCCTAATAATATAATTTATAATAATAAAGAAATCCTGTTTAAATAAAACACTTGCTAACGGTTTAAAACGCGAAAAGTATTTGTTAACTTACAACTTAGTTCCCTCGTGACCACAACTGCTGTAAAATACATAGTAGATAAATTAACTAATACATTTCGCGTTTTAAACCTTGAAGTGTTTTATTTAAATGTGTACCGCGTAAACTACGAACAATACTTAAGGAACAATATGAATAAGACTAAACTGTCTGTCTGTCACCAGAATCCATTTTAAGTTGTGCGACAGCTAGAGACTAAAAACTGCCCTACAAATTACACCATATAAAAGAAAAAATGATAATGATTTAGATAACAGTGCTATTTTTTCCAAGTTATTAATAAGTGCTTGTTGAGATCTTTATATTTTGAAAACACGTAATAAACACAGCTGTTTTTAATTTCCTAAACGAACTGTATCAGATAGACACTTCTAAAAAAAGCCTTTTTGGTCCAGCTATTTGCAAATAATCAAGCACATTTGTGCAGCGCAGTGTTTACCGTGCAAACAGGGTAATGATACTCCCGTTAATTAAGAAGCCCGTGCAAACAGTAGGCCGCGCACGGAATATATTGCCAGCTGGTAGATATTGCTGCGTTAATAAGTTGCAATTACGATCGGTCTAACTTCGAGTTAAGATAAAGTAAACTAATAGCAGTAGTATAGGTTAGCTTGAACGAATGATATTTATAAAAAAAGAATATTGGTTTCATGTTCGAATACTTTTAACGGTTTAGAACGCGAAATGTTACTTATTTACAATTTATTTTAACTAAGCGCCGACGTTTCGGATGCATTGCAGCAGCCGTGGTCATGCGGGGACTGCCTTATTTTACACTAATATCCTGGTTTTAGTCCTCAATTATACTGATTTAATAGCCCTGATACAATACCGTATATTAGATTTTTAAGCATAAGATAATCCTAAGCTAAGTCACTGTACTTAGTCAAGTGGAAATATATATTTTTTTGAAATTAATAAATATAACCATAATGGGAGGACCCCTACCCCAAGTTCTAAAACCGAGGCTCTCACCTGCACTATAGTGTGGTCCATCTCAGCCAACGCCCGTAGGAGGTGCGCTGTCCTTGCTGCTCTGACAAAGCCCCCGCATTGCTCTAGAGATGCCCCTTTCGCGAACAGCACGCAAAACTCTGCGCGAGACCCACATATACCCGTGCCAAGTGTTGTCTTCATAGCTTGTCTTGCAGTAACACGTTCGTTTCCCTGGAGTCATGATTATCATTTCATCTAAGGTAATCATGTTTATAATGCAACTAAAATATTATTTATTTGGTAAGTAATATTATAAACTGAGGAGTTTTTTAATTTGTTTGAACGCCCTACCCTGAGGGAAAATGTGGAAAAACGGGTAAAATCTTCTTTTAGGGTTTTCGTTGAAAGCGCTGCGAAAACGGTTCTAGATACCAAAAAATACAAATATATATTAAAACATTAACTTGCAAGAATTAGAGAGCTTGCGGCAGATGTCGTCAGTAAGAGCTAAAATTTATAGAGATGAGGAGGGAGGAGGTTCGCAAAAACAAATTAAGATAACCAAAATAAACTATTCCACACGGATGGAGTCACTGACACAGCTAGTACTTCATATGGCAAAACAAAATTTGCTAGTTCAACTGTTTTATAATATATCTTAACTTACTGAATCCAGGCTGCACGGATGGCACAAATCTGCGCAAACGGTTAACAGCACTTGCAGGCTCTCTCTTGCCTCCATAGAAGTTTCACCACGATCGAGACATCCAGTGAGACAGAGGTAACTGGAACAAATATTGTATTTATTAGCATATGTGGAATGTTTAAATAAAACACATTAACGGTTTAAAACGCGATATATTATTTAAATTTATTTGAAAATGATTCTTAACTTTGGTCCGACGTTTCGGATGCTTTGCATAAAAATAAATATTTAATATAATAATTACATTAATTTTAAAACATTTAAGGAGTGATTATAATAAATTCTATGGATCTGTATAAATTAAAAATCGAAAATAAATTGCAAAATTTACGACTCGGGCAGGACTTGGAACAGACATCGGCAGCGTTCCGTGCTGTTGCTCTAAGCAATTGAGCTACAGAGTTCGAGTTTTTTTCAATTTATGTTTAATTTTAATTAATATGGAGAATCATGTGAAAAATATTAAAGTTTTCAAATGTATAGTTGCTCTGTTCAAATCTATATATACTTATATTATATCCAACATATCCGAACCTCCAACCGCACGATCGTCGTTCTATCACATAGCACTTGTCCAACAGGACAACAAATCCTTATTAAATATATGCAAATTTGCGGAAAAACAATCAAGCAACGATTTGCAACAACAACGCGCTCTGTTATGTTTGTATCCGGCTAACAAGCTCGCTGTTTGCTTTTCATTCGGATTTGCTCGTCAAGGGGTTGCCATAGTTCCTTTTATGTAAATGGTTGTGTCTTTATTTTACTTAACTTATATATTTTAATTAGCTGTGGTCACGAGTTATTTTATAAAACATTTCATTTTTATCTTACACTAGCTGATTCGGCAAACGTTCTTTTATTGTTTGCAAAATTAATATTATTACATCAACGAATATCTAACGAATAATTGGTAATAATGCATTAGTTTCGAGTAAATTACTTTACCATAAGAACGGAATACACTGTCCGGAATATTTTTTAGATAATTTGAAGAGGAATCATTCATGGTCTATGAATAAGACTTCAACACAAAATTATTTTTTTACTTCAACTAGTAGTTCTCTAGATTAGCGCGTTCAAAGAATCAACAGTTTCAAGGACAGGACAAGGACTTCCGAATTATAAAATAAAACTTGTGTTTTCTGTGTAGGTACCTACATAGAAATGTAAGTTATTACTGTTATGAACACAATAAGGAAATACAAACATTTTTTTAAATTTCGTTTTAACGCCATTCGAAAAGTAATTTTGCAATAGATCACTGCAGTGTATACTCGAGCGCGAAATAATTCACAAAATTAAAAACTGCACAAGCATCTTGAGGGGCCCTCGACGCGATCCAATTATAACTTGCGCAAATATTTGCTCCTTCCACTTCCCTGTGGTAAATGCTAAATATTGCTATACGCTGTGATACTCCGGAGAAAGGGGGAAACTTGCAGGACTTGTTTTCAATATGACAGCGACGTTTTGTATTATAATTATTCGTGAATTTTCTGCTCTAAAACGCTCATTATTTTCGAACGATGTCATACAAATCTCGTACCCAGAATATTTAAGATAAGCGCTATCTTAACCCGTCACTCAACGCGGAGGTCCAATATAAAACTTATTAAATCCAAAGCATTAAGGTCCGTTTTATAAAGATTTAGGCAAACCTGTAGTATCAGGCAACATTATATGCGGTTGACCAATCGGAACGCGGTATTTTATCTCCGGCATTCGAATGGCGCCAAGACGGCATTTTGTTTTTTTAAACGTCGAATGTTTAGGGTTGTTCAGCTCGTTTTGGTTCGATAAGGCTTGAAGATTGCTTTATGTTGAGTGTGAAATGGCTTTTACACATAACTTCGATCATATTGGAATACTTTAAATAGTGTTAAGAATATATATGGCAGTGATTTTATTTTGAGAAAGCTGCAGATACAATGGTAGAATGTATAATATAAGTAAGTACTTAGTACAATTACTTTATGTTTTTAATCAACAGAAGAACATTCAATAACTGGATACAAGGTAAAGCTGAAAAAAACATGTATATTGCCAATTTTTCATTTTACTCTGCTCTATACAATTGCACTAGGGAAAATAAAATAAAAACCACAAGCGCCAATGATTAATGCGTGCCGTCACCCAATCGATGCACGTTCTAAATTCAAACACGCTAATGGAGCCGAACAAGCGCGCGCGCATCGCTCTCGTGGTGTTACCCTATACAAATAATTTGCCCTAAAAATAACATATTTTGTATCTTGAAGATAGATGCTCCTTAAGATTTTAAAATAACCAAAGCTACCGTAAAAGCTAATATATGAATTGGTGACACCATAGTAGTAATAAACACAACAATGTATATATAAATAAATGTAACATGTTAATTTTTGGCCTTTTTCGTGTGTAACACATTGAATACCGAAACATATTTCGTCGTGCCTAACTGAATATGTACTAATGCACGTATGACACTAAATGTAATAAGTCTAATGCTATACACGTCTGGGCTAAAGTAAAATCCCAACACGGCAACACACTCCAACGAGAATTTATAGCGCGTTTAAAATGTTTTCGTTCTTAATTTCAGTGATATAAGCGGCACGTTTTGTCTTTTTGATATATGATATCGTATTTTACAAGACGTGTTATGTGGCTTACTGGTAACATAGTATTTAAAACAGTTTAAATAAGCTGCCGCCCTGAATATATTATCCACTACAGTTTAATATTTGTGTTAATCTACAATATTTGCTTTTTGGGAATCCTCATCGAGTGGTACATTTTAATACTGTCTGTTCCGTTGGCCTCCCCGTGACCACGCCTAAAAATAATTTTCATATAAGTTCAAGTATTATATTACACGCTTTAAACCGTTAAACTAAATATACTATATAGGTCTATATATCAACCATATATAGACCTATATAGTGCTTCCAGCGAATACACAGTAAAAACTACTTAAAATAAAAGAAATCCTTAAGCAGCTAAAATCCTTAACATAATTATATCTATCCAAAAAATATCACAAAAATTCAAACTATGCCTCACCAACCATACTGGAAGATGACCATATATTAAAGTACACGATTAGATGACACAATTTTAAATGGAAACCTTTTTGGTTCTTTCGTTTCTCTTATTTTAAGTGCCATAGATTAATATAGAATGTCGAAGTATCGAAATGCATTTTAAGAGACCATTTTTAATTACAACTATAAAAAAATATATATATATGTACTGTTTAGCAAATTTTACTATGGTAACATTTGAAGTGTACTAATACTTGTAATAAACCTGTTTAATTTTTAGTACTGCTTATATGCAATAAATTTATTTTTAAAAGCTTTATTTCAAAAATAACAATAAGTAAATTTATTGTTTCCCCAAAGTTGTGGCTCCTTCAACTTATGTGCCAAAAACTTTAGCGATAAGTAGGTATATAGGTGGATATTCTTTCACGCAAAACTACTAAACTGCTTTGGATAAAATAATTAGTGATATTCACCAGACTGAATCGTGGTAAATCCCGATTCCCCTCGTGGGGCATAGGGCGAACACATTTCTGTGTCCGTTTCACTGATCGGTTTTATTTAAAGGCAAGTAGTTGATGAGACTTCTGTGCCCTGCTCGTGCGAAACAATTTTTTGTTACCCCGGGTTCAAACTCAGGACGTCCCGCGCTTAACGCAATGGTAGGCAAAATGTTTAACCATTAAGCTACAGAGGCGGTCAGATAATTATTATACATTTTGTACAACTTAGCTATAAATATAATTTACTATTTTTAGTTCCAAATTTCTAACAGATGTATTAATAGAGATATAAAGCCAGAAATGCCCATAATGTTATTCAGAGTAAGTCATACGAGGCGTGACTATTGAAAGATTAAAATTTATTTCACTTTAATACATGCAAATGTAATCCAAACATGTTTATTTCGGCGCACCCTTTGTAACTGAGCACGAATTACGAATCAACCCTTGGTTATTAAATGACATGTGTAAAATTATTAAATTATTGTAGACATTGTACAAGAATGCAACGAATGTAGTAGTATTTTAGGAGTAAAAAAATTGATTACAGCGGCGAGACTCGAATCTACAGCCTCTCTGATAACACGTCACCTTAATTGGCATGGATCAAGTCAGTCAAGTTTAAGCTGGGCCATAGATTGTTTTCGTGCACTTAGTACAATCTCTCATGTGCAAAACAAATCTAATACAATACAGAATTAAGCCAATTATGGGTTAGATATGCGTTAACAAAAACTAAACACTGTCTTACAATGGCTTTGGTAGCACCGTCAGATAAAATGTACTCAGAAAAATATAGTGGGGATAAGACTACTATGCATTTGGTTACGTGGTCAGATAGGCACATAACCATCCAATTTAAAGAGAAAATCGAAACGGGGTGAAAACTAGGTATCTATTTCGTTATACAAAAATAATCCTAAAATTAGAGTCCGATCACGGAATGCAAAATCGTCAAATGAACACAATATTTACATATGAAGAGGCGGGGAGAGCCGGGTAATCCGGGTAAGTAATTCTTTTTGAGTAAGTAATGCGTTGATAAATGAAATTAAATCGCACAAACAAGTGCTGCCATTCCGCCCGCGGCGCCCTTTAATTCGGCAACTAGTGATGCGTTAGTGTTGTACTCATATGACAAACATCGACAATCGAAAAGGAAGTTTATATACCTAAGTAGTTTTAAGTTTTTAATTGGTATAAAGAGAAGCGTTTGGAGTAATTTTATTACTTAAATTAATAAATAATTAAATATAAAAAATTTAAATCCTATACGAACAACAAAAATTTGCCTTTGCGTATTTTTAGGCACATATTTCTGTTAAAAAAAAATCTCATCGACATTCTGCTATGTTCTGGTACATCACTACAAAAGTTAGCAAAAAGCGCATCGCATCTCGACATGTGCGCGCCAATCTGTCGTTGCTACTCAACTCTCAAGCACATCGTGCGTCCCTCTCTAACCCACCTGCGCAAACAGTTGTACTAGTCGCACGCCCCATGACCCACACCCCAGCCCCTTGTCGCGACTACTTAGCGAATGAACGATA